GTTTTAAGTTTTGGTGGTACCGTTCCTTTTTACTAGTGGCTCAGCGTAACAGTTTTTTTTTTTTTGCCAGAGTCACCTCAACGGGTATACACTCGATGGTTTAAAGGTCTTCCCTGATAATGGTAGACATGTGGCAAGGCCCTTTCATAATGGTGTAGGCAAACTGGTCATCGGATTAATCAGCTATGGTAAGAGCGTTCTCTAATGCCATGCGTTTAACTCTACAGCGTTGTACCCTAATATCACGGTACAACGATTTAACTTGTGATCTGACATGTCTCTCTGCACAAACGAATTTCAAGTTCATGTACGCGAAGAGATCCATATTTTCGGGATTTCCAAATCCTTTACCTACAAAGGTCTGTCCTTTTCACGTCTTAAAGATAAGGAGCTTAGTGTGTTCAGTCCAAATTACGCTGTATCCGTAGATGTGTTCCATATTTTTCTTTGCTAAAGCAAACGTTGTATCTTCTGATTCAAAAAAGAAGATGACTTCTCCTAGTAGATCGGTAGGGTCTTCGGTACGATCAGCTTGTCCTTCGAAGAGAACGTTGTATATCTCGAAGTTGCAGTTAGTTTAAGGAAGGACTTAACGGTACGTACTACTCCTATCTTGATCTGTACTAAAAAAGCAGCGTGTACCAGAATTCAATATAATTTTATCTTTAAGCAAGTGGACTCTAACATAATATTCCTGAATCTTAACTTGAAGCGTGCTTCGTACCGTTACGTCACTCTAAGAGCCGTAACGATCTGCGTAATATGCTATCTTGCAACCTCCATTGGACGTAAGTAATCTGGCAAAGGTGGTGCGGGGGGGTACTAGTAGTTTTGTTGATCTCAACTTCTTGCAGGATCAGCAGTTCCTTCCTGTATAGCCATGAGAAGTCAATTCTCATGCACTTCTTTCAGTCTATCTCGTCAATGAAATTTGCATCTTTATTATGCACTTCAGAGCTATGAGAATGCATATCACAGTGACGAATGTGACGCTGAATTACCACTTTACATTGTACGACATGTGTCTGCACATAATGGTTTACTTGTAGCAGCTGCATGTAACGCTTTGTTGACTTAACTGTGTCCAGCGGGATATCACAAGGATCAACTACTAGCAATTTTAGGGTGGTAATATTTACAGTTTGTGCACCACAGTCGTATCCTACTAACTCCAGTGATACTGGAGCGATGAAAAATATCAACACGCAGAGTAGCTTCATCTTTTTGGCTGTAATCACGGAAGGTAAGATTACGCATTATTGACGTTTATTGGACAAAGAGAGAGAAAGGAGAAAGAGAAGAGAAGAAAAAATAAGCGGGAATTTAAAAGGCAAGCCCTGCCACGTTCACTGACCTGCAACCTCAGAGCTTTTGCAATCCGATTCACTGGGTTTAGTTTGCTTAAATTTTATTTTCGACAGTCGTAACCTATTTGCATACACTACTCTATGTTCATTACCTACGGAAATTCTCACATTTTGTTAACTTAAGATTTCTAAAATCTCATGGGATCCCGAAAAATGGTCTCCGAATTTATCCTTTTTGACCCTTTTTAACAAAAAACATAATCTTCTACCTTAAATATTTTTTTTTTCTTACCTTTTTATCATAATCTCTTTAGATTGAGGTTTTAAATTTGCTAAATTTGCATGTACTACTTTCCTTATACTAGTTAGCTTAGTTATTAAATTTATAATATAATTGTTATAAGTAGGTAGGCGACCCTCTTTTCTTCGTGGCGTGGATGATAGTAGTCTGGCTAATCTTTCAAATACGACTTTATAAGAGGTGTGCTTGGTAAATTTTTGTATACAAGTATTGTAACTAAGGACGACCAACTCTACCCGTTGGTCCTAATCATTGTCGCTATCGGCGTATTGCTTAAGAAATTTACCAAGTGCGTAATGTAACCTTTTCAGGGATCCATTGGACTGTGCGTGAAAGGCTGTAGTCTTTACTTTTTGAATTTTGAAGCATTTAGTGACTTTTTGCACTAGATTACTCAGGAAATTCCTTCCCTGATGTGTGAGAATGACTTCAGGTGCTCCAAAAATGCAGTTAAAACGTTTTACAAAAGCATCGACGATTGTTACTGAAGTGGCATATTTTAACGGTTCTGCTAAGCAAAACTGAGAAAGTTGATCCTGCACTGTCAGTATGTATTTGTTTCCGTTCTTCGTTTTAGGTAACTGGCCAACAATGTCCAGAGCTACTTTATCGAATACATTTCCAGGTGTATAGGTTATTAGCAGAGGCCGTTTGGTCTTTAGCCGTACTAATTTTCTTGTTTGAAATTCTAAGTACTGTTGAATGCGTCTTTAAATGTCGTCCTTTATTTCTTCCCAGTAATATTCCTGCCATGTACGTCCAAATATTTTGGATGTACCTTATTGGCCTCCAGTAAGAGACTTGTGGGCTTCGTAAAATATTATGTCTTTATCATTGTTGTCAGCATATACTGAAGTATTTTTACAAATTATAACCTCAACAACGCTGTGTGAGAACTTTTCCTTCAATAAGTTTATCACTACTGACCAATGCAAGTTACATATGGTCTGGTTCTTGGCAATACTGACCGTGCTTATATGTTTTTCAATCAGTTTCGTCTTCAGCATTTTATATAGTGCCTTTAATATGGTTTTCATTATAAACTGTGATTTCTTGCCCTTTTCCGTGATGCAGAGCGCTATTTAATTCTTCTTGTTGGTCATTTTTATCATACTAACGCTTTCTAACTCTGTGGGACGAAGTGTGGCTATTTCATTGGTGTCGTACCTGAGTTCCCACCCTCGTACGACACGCGAAGTGTACACGATCGGTCGATTGATCCCAAGTTCTCCTAGGAAAAGGATACCACCTATGGCGTAACTGGACGCGTCGCACGTTATTACGAATGGCTCATTTCAGTCTAGAAATTGCAACAGGGGGGCAGTGCATAAAGCATTTTTGAGTCTCTGGAGAGCGTTTTTTTCTTTATCATTCTAATGAAAGCTTTCATTGATTTGAAGAAGCTTGCTTAATCGATTGGCTTTCCTCGCAAAATTTTGAATAAAACGTCTGTAATATACGGCAAATCCTAAAAATTGTCTTACGTTCATAAGTTTTTACAGGGTAGGAAATGATTTTACTGCTTCTATTTTCTTAGGGTCAGGGTTGAATCCTTTTCCGCTTAATATGTTGCATAAGTATACTTCTTCTTTTTGCATTAGTTTGCATTTGCTGGGTTCCAATTTCCAGTTTGCTTCTTTTATTCTTCCCATTACGAGGTCAAAGAGACGTTTGTGATTGTCAAGGGTTTTTATGTTATGTAAATGACTATGTCGTCCATGTATACGAATATTCCCTTGCTGGGTAATCCGTCGAGAGTTCTTGTCATAGCAGCCTGATACTACACTGCTGCATTACGTAAGCCGAAGGGAATCAAGACGAACTCGTAATGACCATTGGGGTCAAAAACACGGTTTTGTGGGTGTCTTCCAGGTGCAGCAGGATTTGGTGAAAGTCTGACTCACAATTAATAACTGTGTAATATTTAGAGTCCCCGAATAGGTCGAATATATCCGTTATGTTGGAAAGTGGAAAATTCATTGGTATGGTCTTTTTCTTAAGCGGTCTAAAATCAAGTACTACTCATTATTTAGGGGTGCCATCCACGCTTTTTTTGGAAACGATCTTGTTCATTTATGAATTTAAGTATCGCTGGCGAGTGTCTTTGCGCTGTTGCTGCGAGTTTTCCTTTAATTTAACTCGCGGATTTTGCTGTGCGAAAGGTAGGGGGTCACACTCCCGCAAGGAGTGCGTATTTAATACACTTGTGCGAGTGTGTCTGTTCCCCCTTCCCGCGTATTGTATAAAACATTTGATGAGGCTTGCCGCGAGTAGGTCTGGCTCGAGCAGCACGCTTGTGGGACTCTCCCCGTCCAGACTTCGAGCGAAGTAGACGTACCTACGCAACAGCAATTATACTCGAGCAAGCAGTATAACGCAGCAAAGTCGTTTTTCGGGCTAAAGATGTGCCCAAGCAGCAGCAACACCGCAGAGATTTACTACTCCACGCTGGATTTGTAATTTTTAGTATCTTTATCTCTTAAAGGCCTAAACAATAGAGGCAGCATTCAACTAGATAAGAACTGCACGAACGGCTAGCTAATCGTCGTGTCGAGGCAGTGATCTTGTTGAAGCGTTGTAAATTTTATCTGCACGATCGACTCGCTATTCGTCGAATCGGCAGACAAATTTGAAGCGTAGACAGCTCGCTTTGTAAAGCTGATCTAGTCTGAATTTTGAGTATTCTTTGATAGCGTCGCGATATTCCATTATCTCAGAAATTATTGTTAATCTCTTTCTCTTTGGTAAATATATTTGTTGATTGTTTAAAGTAAAACCATTTTGTAAATCCTTTCACTACCCCTCGCAGAAGCTCGAATTTATTCCAGAAAATTAGACAACAAATTTTCACTGTCTTTAACTCGGCAGCAGTCCGAATTTGCCCTGGGTTTTTCCATTCGAGGCTTTCGAAGCTTCTCGAGTCTCGAGAAAAGCCCAGCATATATAAATAAATATACATTTTGGTAGCAGAGCGTGGTTGATTTTCTGGAAAACAGATCTATCGTTGGACGCGGCCGTCATCAAGGCCACCGTGACGTTATCGAGCACGCAATCGTCCAAAACAAATCGCTACCGTCGGAGAGAGAGAGAAAGAGAGAGAGGCATTTGGAGCGCACAAGGAAAGCTATCACCGTCTCCTCTTTGTGAGGATCTTCGTTCCGGTGACCAGGCTTTTCCCCTTCTTCGCAACCTTCACAGCCCCAAGTCAAGCTTGATTCTCGCAGGCCTGTATTCTTCGGCGTTGGACGAGACCAAGTAAAGGGGGAGAGGTGATAGGGACGGTAAGCCTGTGTATACATCGATTTTTTTTCAAAACAAATCAGCGATTGCTAACGCTACGTTGCTATACTACATAGTATTGAGTACCGTTCTATTCTCTTGAATTAGTCATTATGGAAGAGATTTTAAAATCTCAGCTCAGCGGGTACAAACATATCGTGAATTTTTTTGTAAATTCAACGGAAAAGGCAGGTGCAGGGGCACAAACTGCAGATCATTTCAATACGCGTCTAGAGTTGCTCGAGAGATATTGGTCAAGGTTTGAGGAACGACACGATGATTTGCTCAAGTTCGAGGATCAATTGAAAGATAGAGAGTATTTTCGCGACGATCTCTATACTTCGGCCGAAGTTGAGTATTCGAGCGCGCGTGCTAGATTACGTGGTAAGCTAGCAGAGCTAAATCCGCAACCCCCTCAACAGAACCCACCAGCTTCACAGCATTTTGTACAAAATTTTAACGCGTCCTCTTCTCGATTAACACTCCCAAGCATTTCGTTACCTACGTTCTCCGGCAGCCAAGGAGAATGGGAGAGCTTTAAACAGCGATTTTGCTCGCTAATTAAGGATAAGATCGATATCCCGCGAGTAGAAAAACTACAACATTTGCTTAACGCAGTTCAAGGCCAAGCGGCGCAACGTTTAAAGGGTCTTGACGTGATTGAAACCAATTTTGATGTAGCGTGGGACAAGCTAGTACGGCGTTATGACAATCCGCGAATTCGCCTTTTTAATACTCTCGAGAACTTGATACAGCTACCGTTAGTCAAAGCTCGCAATGTTCAGGACTTGAATGATATGATGGACCAAGTCGAGGAAGCTGTTCGAGCGCTTCGTGATCTGACTTGCCCCATTGAGCACTATGATAACTGGTTCGTGCATTGCATTATTAGAAAGCTCGATTTAAACTCTCGAGAGGCGTGGGAGGTTTCGCAGAGTGCAGTTGACGGTTTCTCAAGTTATGACGTGTTATTACGTTTTTTAGAGAAGCGTATTCAAACGTTAGAGCAAGCACGCACTACAACCGAGACCTGTGAACCGCGTGGCAAGAAAGCGAATAATTCGGCTTCTCGTTTTTCCAATCGTGTGACAGCCAATAATGCCCAGACTGTTGAGTCAACAGACTCGAAGTCCGGCCCTTCATGCGATCTTTGTAGAAACAATCACTGGCTGCATCATTGTAGTCAGTTCAATGCTAAAACGCCTTCTCAACGTTTAGAGTTCTGCAAAAAGGCTAAACTTTGTCTTAATTGTTTTAAGAAAGGGCATTTCGCTGACAAATGCACCTCAAAGCATCGGTGTTTTACATGCCGGGCAGCGCATCATACTAAGCTTCATCCGGCTAATTTTCAAATTCAGGATTCAAGCAATCGTGGCTTTCCAAAATCGAATAATAATAATAATGCCACACAGGTCACTGGCGCTGCTGCTACTTCTGCTGATTCGGGCGGTGAAATCGCGTCACATAGTGCCTCTGTAGGAGCAACAGTACTTCTGGCAACGGCCCGCGTTATAGTTGCCAATTCGGCCGGTAAATCTCTAGAAGTTCGCGCATTAATCGATCCCTGTGCAGAAAAATGCTTTATTTCAAAGCGCACGGTGAATTTTCTCAAGCTTGATTCCGAGAAAACTTCGCTTTCGGTGATCGGTGTCGGAGCAGAGACTTCTTCTAGATGCTATTCTATTGCTCACGGTATCCTAAGGACGAACAAAAAACAAAATTTTGCAATGGGTTTTTCGGCTTTAGTTCTTAATGAGCTTACTAGGTGCTTGCCAAAGCAAAAGCTCACGCGAGGGAATTGGCCGCATCTCGAGGGCCTAGATCTAGCAGATCCAGACTATACTGATCCTGCAAAAATCGATGTAATTTTAGGGGCTGATGTTTATCCAGCTTTAATTATGGAAGGTTTGGTCAGGGGTCTAGCAGGTACTCCACTGGCTCAGCAATCGGTATTCGGTTGGTTGCTAACTGGAGCTATCGATTCTGGTAATCCGCAAAGCTCGTCGATTCGCGCGTTTCACACGCACACGGAACCTTCGCTATCTCAACTTGTCTCAAGATTTTGGGAGATAGAAGAAGTTCCTCGTAAGTCCTTGTTGACCGCTGACGAAGAAAAGTGTGAGGAGCTTTTCGCAAATTCGTATTCTCGCAATGAAAACGGTCGTTTTGTAGTTCGTCTACCTTTCGCTAAGAGACCCAATTTTCTTGGCTCTCGTGATATTGCTGCAGCGTGTCTGGCTCGCTCTGAGCGGCGACTGCAGCACAATTCTCAACTTGCTGAGCGCTACAAGGCTTTCATGTGCGAGTATATTGAGCTGCAGCACATGGAGTCTGTTCCGGTATCGCAAATCAACAGGCCCAGTTTTTATATGCCTCATCATGCAGTAGTAAAGCCCGACAATATAGAAAAAATCCGCGTAGTCTTCAACGCGTCGCAAAAATCTCGCAATGGGATCGCCCTTAATGATTTGCTCTTGCCTGGCCCAAAGTTGCAGACCGATATCGCAATAGTCTTAACACTTTGGAGGCAATTTAGATATGTGTTTACTACTGACGTTATCCAGATGTTTAGGCAAATACTGGTACATCCCAAAGATGCGGATTGGCAGCGAATTCTCTGGCGAAAGGATAGCAATCAGCCGTCGAAGGACTACAGATGTACCACGGTGACGTACGGCACTGCGTCTGCTCCATTTTTAGCTCTTCGCGTGATGAAGCAGCTGGCCATCGATGGAGCTGCCGACTATCCAGATGCCGCTGCAATCCTGCAACATACGCTCTATGTTGATGATCTCTTCGCCGGAGCAGACACGGTTGAAGAGGCGCTGCGACGACGTGACCAGCTGATTGCTCTGTTAGGGACTGCTGGTATGGCCCTTAGCAAATGGGCAGCGAATGTACCACAGCTGCTATCAGGTTTGATTTCAACGTCTACGGGTGTGGTGAATGTAAAAGCAGACGAGGTAATATCTACTCTTGGCCTTAAGTGGCTCCCCCAAGAAGATAAATTCATGTTTTCGGTCACCGAAACGCACTCACCATGCGAAGTAACAAAACGCTTAATCTTGTCTGATATTGCTCGTTTGTTCGACCCTCTAGGATGGCTAGCACCAATGATTGTCGTTGCCAAAATCATTATGCAAGATTTGTGGATCGATAAGGTGGACTGGGACGCGCCTACAACGCAGTCTCTGCAAGCTCGATGGTTGCAATTCCGAGCCAATCTTTCAGACGTACCAAGGATCCGAATTCCAAGGTGGATAAACATAAAGGAGAATGACGACTGGCAGCTGCACGGATTCGCCGATGCCTCGCAAAGGGCTTATGCTGCAGCAGTTTACTTAGTGGTGCCTGGGTCTACGCCTATGCTGCTTGTAGCGAAAACCAAGGTCGCGCCTACGAAGGTGCAGTCGCTGCCAAGGCTGGAGCTCTGTGCTGCTACACTGCTATCTCGACTGACGTCGTATCTCCTCAATTCGTTGCATCGTCCACCGACAGCGATCCACTGCTGGTCAGACTCACGAGTTGTACTGGAGTGGTTGAAGGATCATCCGTCCAGGTGGCAAACCTTTATTGCCAACCGCACAAGCGAGATCATCACTCGGATTCCATCAGCTATTTGGAGACATGTGAGATCTGCTGACAACGCTGCGGACTGTGCAACGCGAGGCCTTAGTCCCGCAGACCTTGCTACATTTCGGCTCTGGTGGCACGGACCCGCTTGGCTTCCGCTACCAGAAGCAGCCTGGCCGTCATCCGTCCCTTTGAGCGCTCAAGCCATTGAGGAGACGCATGCTCTTGCAGCCATGGAGAGGAATGACGAGGAAGTCAGTTTGGTCGCAGGTTGCAGCTGTTTGCCGTCGCTGCAAAAGTTTTCTGATTTTGAGAAAATACTGCGCATCTTGGGCTACTGTGGGCGCTGGCTTCGGAAACCAGATGATGAGCCACGAGAAAGTAACAAATTCATCTCACTACGGGAGAGGGCTCTTGCCCAAAATTTTTGTTACAGAGCTATCCAGCAACAACATTATAAGGAGGAGCGAAAGCAATTGCTAGCGAATAAGCTGCTTTCTAAGCGTAGTCCGCTGGCTCGTCTCAGTCCTTTTATCTGCGAACGGGGTTTGATCCGAGTGGGAGGTCGACTACATTATTCGCCGATACCTTACAACGAGAAGCATCCAATTGTGCTACCAGGGGGATGCATTCTGGTCAAACGACTCGTCGAAGAAGTGCACAAGTTAACGCTTCATGGTGGCGCACAACTTATGTTGTCCCATATCTACCGCTCGCTCTGGATCACTCGAGGCCCGGCCGTAGCAGCAGGAGTCTACAGGCGATGCGTCCGCTGCACAAGATTTGATGGCAGATGCTCTGCCCAGCAGATGGGCCCCTTGCCTGCTGACCGAACGACGCCGTCTCGTGCATTTGCCGTTACCGGACTGGATTACGCAGGGCCCATCCCTGTGCTGTTTTCCAGAGGCCGAGGGGCAAAATCTACAAAAGGCTACGTCGCAATATTTATTTGCTTATTTACGCGAGCTGTACATATTGAAATTGTTTCGGATTTATCCACAGATGCTTTTCTTGCAGCTTATGCACGGTTCTGCGCTCGTAGAGGGGTTTGCAAGAAACTTTATTCGGATAACGCAACAACCTTTAAAAAAGCTGATAAGGAGCTGCAAGCGCTCTTCGCCAAGTCGTCACCCTTTATGGACAGCGTGGTATCAACTTTGGCTACCCAATGCACCCAATGGTCGTTCATTCCACCACGTTCCCCACATTTCGGCGGACTCTGGGAAGCGGCGGTGCGTAGTTTCAAGCACCACTTCCGCAGAGTCATCGGAGATCACTCGCTTACCTTCGAGGAGCTGTCGACGTTGGCTGCGAAAATCGAGGCATGCCTTAATTCTAGGCCGCTGTGCCCCCTCAGCACAGATCCCAAAAACGCAGTCGCTCTCACTCCGGCGCATTTTTTGACGGGCTCATCTTTGCTGTCATCTCCGGAGCCGTACGACGAAGCAACTCAGCCCATTTCACTCAACGACCGGTGGAGGTTGCTGGGCAATCTTAGAGACTCCTTTTGGTCACGTTGGAGAAAGGAGGTCCTACATCTTTTGCAGCGTCGAAATAAATGGTTGGACCCAGAGCCAAACTTGCAAAAGGGGGACGTCGTTTTGTTGACGGACGAGCTCTCGCCTCCAACTCAGTGGCGCCTTGGCTTGGTCATCGAAGCACATCCGGGGGCTGACGGGCTTGTGCGAGTTGTCACTGTCAAGACGGCCACATCCACGTTCACTCGTTCAGTAGTGAAGCTTGTGAAACTACCTACTGAGCCAGAGCTTGTCAACTTTTACCACCAACTGCCGACAAAATCCGCTTCGGCTACAGAAAAAAAAATAAAAATGATTGTATAAAATCCAAAGAAGTTAGGTAGCTTTCGCGGCTAGTGTAGTTACTTGAATCTTTTGTAATTTTGTTATTTCTCTATTTTTTTTTTTCTTTTTTTTCTTTCTCATTTACTATAATGTTTTTGTTTGTTTAGCCTCCATGCATTGTAATGCTGCTCAATCTCGATGAGTAACATAGGGATAGCTTCTAATCCGCACATAGGCTTTCCTGTCCCGTTGAAATTAAAAGCTTCTTTTTTTTCTTTCCTTTTTCGATTTATTTTGATTTTTTTGACGCTTGTTGCGTCAAGGCGGGCGATATGTTCATTTATGAATTTAAGTATCGCTGGCGAGTGTCTTTGCGCTGTTGCTGCGAGTTTTCCTTTAATTTAACTCGCGGATTTTGCTGTGCGAAAGGTAGGGGGTCACACTCCCGCAAGGAGTGCGTATTTAATACACTTGTGCGAGTGTGTCTGTTCCCCCTTCCCGCGTATTGTATAAAACATTTGATGAGGCTTGCCGCGAGTAGGTCTGGCTCGAGCAGCACGCTTGTGGGACTCTCCCCGTCCAGACTTCGAGCGAAGTAGACGTACCTACGCAACAGCAATTATACTCGAGCAAGCAGTATAACGCAGCAAAGTCGTTTTTCGGGCTAAAGATGTGCCCAAGCAGCAGCAACACCGCAGAGATTTACTACTCCACGCTGGATTTGTAATTTTTAGTATCTTTATCTCTTAAAGGCCTAAACAATAGAGGCAGCATTCAACTAGATAAGAACTGCACGAACGGCTAGCTAATCGTCGTGTCGAGGCAGTGATCTTGTTGAAGCGTTGTAAATTTTATCTGCACGATCGACTCGCTATTCGTCGAATCGGCAGACAAATTTGAAGCGTAGACAGCTCGCTTTGTAAAGCTGATCTAGTCTGAATTTTGAGTATTCTTTGATAGCGTCGCGATATTCCATTATCTCAGAAATTATTGTTAATCTCTTTCTCTTTGGTAAATATATTTGTTGATTGTTTAAAGTAAAACCATTTTGTAAATCCTTTCACTACCCCTCGCAGAAGCTCGAATTTATTCCAGAAAATTAGACAACAAATTTTCACTGTCTTTAACTCGGCAGCAGTCCGAATTTGCCCTGGATTTTTCCATTCGAGGCTTTCGAAGCTTCTCGAGTCTCGAGAAAAGCCCAGCATATATAAATAAATATACAGATCTATAGAGCTGTACTTTAACCTGATTGCGATCGTCTTACTATGCTATTTTTTAGTAATTCCTGCACTTAACGCTCTGTTTCTGCCTTTAATGCATGAGGTAGCTTGTATTGCTTCGTAACCCCTGGCACGTCGTCAATCGTGGGTATACGGTGGGTTGCTATGTTAGTTGCCGTCAGTTCATCTTCTTTAAGGTGAAAATTCCTGTGGTATCGCCCAATCAGCCCCTTAGCTTAAGCCATTTTACTCTGGCTTTGAGCGATGTTATATTTATTAGATTTTATAGCTGCTCCACTTAGATTGGTAGTTATTGGTATGACTGTTAGTGATTACTTGAAAAAGGTAGATACTAGCTTCACTGACGCCCATATTAGGGATATCTAATTTGTAATATAGCTTGTCAGTTAACTTGAGGAATGTCTCCCTTTCCCTGAAACTGCAAAATTCGCCGTCTAGATTTTCACAACTAAAGGAGTCATCAATCTCCACGTCATCGGGCATAGCATTGTCTATCATTGTTTCACCGTCAGTAGGTGGTTGTATCTTTTCGTATCTTATACTAAGGGGAACTCTATCATCTTATTAAGTCAACAGTTTATTGGAAAAATTAATCCTAACCTTATTGCAAGTAAAGAACTCCACGCCTAAGACTTCTTCAAAAGATGGTTTTAGGTCGTTTGAAATTACTTGAAACTCGGTCTCTAGAGCTCCTAGGCTGATGACTGTATTTCCGAGCGTCTTCATTCGTTTTGCTCCAAAGTCACTTATTACTTTTTAATTATTCGCGTTTATGTGGCAACCTTCTAGGGCTTGGCTATTTTTAATTATACTCACTTTTAAGCCAGTATCTATCAGAAGCTGTCTGGTTGGCTTTTATATATTAAAGTACAGACAGTTTTATAGTACCTTATTTATGTTCAAGCAATAAGTTTCGCGTGGACCACTATTTAGATTGTGTTCAAATTTCGTGACTAAACCAGGGAACTTTAATAATTGGTGCTCAAAGCTCATTTTACACTTCGTGTCTAAAGGAAAACGTATTCCTAGTATACCATTGTAGGGGATGTTAAATAGTTCTTCTACAACATGAAAAGAACCACGAAGTCGAGGACCTTTAGTGTTATTGTCCCGGTAGACGAAGTCATGTCACCATCTATGCCGTAAAAATTCATTACTTTATGTGTGCTGATATATGCATTAGCTGGGATGCTCTCGCGTCTTATCAAATTTTTGTGAGAGCCCAAATCAATCATTAAACTTATAGACTTGGTGCCTGACAGGAAATCTAGGTAGGGCACATACTTTGGCTTAGGGCTCAACTTAAGAGAACTAATTTCTCCAGAATTTGATTTGTATCTGCTGAGTGCGTTAATGATTCGGGGACCCTCAGAGTCACTTCATGACCCGAGCGCCAGACAGGTTTTCTGTTTCATGCGTTTATTATATAGTTGTTTTCTGCATTCCGATATAGTGTGGCCACGGTGGAAGTAGTAGGCGCAGGTTTTAAGGTCTGCTGCAAGGTATCCTTTGTTGTGGCATTGCGTACAACGTGGTTGGGTGTTGGATAGCGGCTAATGCTGTCTGCAGTTGATAGCTGCGTGCCCGACTAGGAGACATATTTGGCAAACTACGTTACTCATCGGGTAGTTACTCGTCATATGGCCCTGGCCTTTGCAAATGTAGCAAGTTATCTAATTTCTGCTTGTTTTTGCACAACTTAAGGTGGTGTTACCTAGAGTGTTGACTAGCTGGCATGTTACCGGCTACGCACCAACTTACCCAGCATTTCTTTGCCACAAATATGTAAAGCACTTGGTGGCTATGTGGCTTAGTTCTTCGCATACTTGACAAGTGATAGAGATTTCTTTTGGCCTCTGTTTGGAAAGGTTAGGGGTATTGTTACTGCTAATTGTTGTAGGGCGTGAATTGCAGTTATCAGTAGTGTGACCCCCCTACTTACATAGCTGGAAAATGGTTCGAGATTCGCAGTCAGCGTCAATATGATCATTAGATTGGCAGAATCGATAGTAGAGAACGTAGTGCCGTTTTTTTAATTGTCAATTTACCCTTACCGGGCCTCTTAATGTTTGTCTCGTTTGTAGTGCTTTTTCTATCTTAATGGTTCTTTTAATTAGGTCGGGTAGAGTTTCATTGTCTAGTGTATTTAATTTGTCTTTAATATATCGGTTGAGTCCGTTCTCGAAACAATCTATTACTTTAAACTGTATGGACGTGACGTACGTGGCTGAAACTACTCCATCATCATTATTCAGCCTTTTTACTTCCAGTATTTGCTGTTGTTAATCGCATATTCTGTTGGCGTAGTAAAGCATTGTTTCTTCGAGTTTTTGGAATTCATTACCCTTCTCACCAAGGAGTTGATTTATTGTTCTGGTGGGAGCGTAAATGGCCTCGATACAGTTTTTTAATTCTTCAATATTTTTAAAGATTACTCTCCTTATGGCAACTCGTGCTTTTCGTATTAATTTACCTCCAATCAGTTTCATAAGATTGGCTTCATCGGCCACGTTTACCATGTTTTTTGCTTCATTGCAGCTTTCTAAAAACATCTTTAACGGTATGTTATTGACGCTAAACTCTTGGACTACCTTAAAAATGTCTTTTAAAGTAATTTCTTGCACCATTGCTATTGGCTCGTTTGTAGACGGGTTGCGCCGAAGTAAATCTTCTGTACCGCCTTGATTTAGGTCGCTGGCATTGAGTGTAGGGGGCCTAGGTTGGTGAGGTTCGATTAGGTTTTTCTGCCGATTTGTGCTTTCTTGAGCGGTATTTATTGTATTCTTAATACCCACTGTAGCCATTTTCTCGGGTTCGGCAAGATTGTTCAAGGGTGGCTCATCGTCAGAAGGGTGTTCCACCATATCCACTGGTTTGTTCTCAGCACTGTCTCCTTGGTTTTCTTTGCTTTTTATTGGTTTCTATAATGGGAAGATTTCGTCGAGATAGGAAAAAGTTGAGTAATTCTAATTATGCGTGGGGCATGCTTGGGCCTTGTAAGGCTTTGAGGCATTAAGTGAGTAAAATGTAATACCTTATCACGCAAGCTTAACTTTACAAACAGTGAAGTTAACTTATTTATGTTAAAATTATTTTTAATGCAGAGTCGCTCGATGACTGTATGCAAGCTAGCATTGTAAGTTCGAAGATTATGGACTTGCTCGCATAGTGATGCGACTGTTGCCCAGTGGTTTTCATCGAACAGCTCTAAAGCATTAAGTCCATCGTTAACTCTAGAGAATATAATAGTGTGTTGATGTAGTGTATCTAAATTACGTCGCATTTTACCTTTGACTTGCTGTATGTGTATTTCTACCTCATAGATGTCATTTACTTCGAGCATGGTTACAACTGGAATATTCAAGAGTGTCACTTCTTGGTTTGCCAACACAGTTTCACGGCCCCAACCCGTTCTCTGACTACATGAAAAAAAAAACTTTTCTTTGACACAGATAACATGGCATTTGTCTAGTTGTTTTTCGTATTTTTGCCGAGTCCGTGAAAAGAGGTCTACCAGTATTACTTCTGGTACGTCAGGTATGTACTGATCAATTTGTTCTAAGTTAAGGTAGTAACCATGAGATTTTATAAAGGTAAGTGGGCTGGAAGAGGGCCACATAAACTCTTAGCTATATGCTGCTGCTCTTAATCTTCTTCCAAAAATCTTGGGGATGGTGTCGAAAGCTACTGGATTGATGCAGCCGCAATCTAGTTTAAAGTACCCTATCGTTTGGCCTCAGCAATCAATCGATTTCCCTATTTTATTGAACTCCTTATGCCAAATGTATACCTTAG